CCCATAGGTCTCAAAAGCAGGCCTGCTCTATAGAAAGGTGAATCCTTTAAGATCCACTTGGATATCAACAGGATGAGATAGTGAGTTTATGCTCCTGTGGAAATCTGGGGGTGTTAGTCACAAGACACAAAACTGTCTTGCAGGACCATAGAGGGTTGTGTGTTCTGAAACAATAGCATTTTAAGCCAATATTCCCCCCAGAGCTCCCGCAGAGATACGGAGGATCCCAGATATGCGCACTTTCCGCCGTGCTCTTAAGACTCTCCTATTCCAGCAAGCCGGCCTGGCCTAATTTTCTCCCCTGTTTTAAAATTCTTTTAAATCGAAATTTTAATCTGTTTTAAATTATTGGGATTTTTAATTGTCTCGGGCTAAATTATTTAATCTGGTTTTAATTATGTTTCTAACTTTTGTATCTATGTATTTTATTTTGTGCCTGTTCACCGCCCTGAGTCCTTCGGGAGTAGGGTGGTATATAAATTTAATAAAAACAAACAAAAACAATATTTCAAGCGGCAAGGTCATCTGTGAGTCACTAGAGGAATTAGGCCAGATTGTAATTTCAACGAGGCATTTCATACACAGTGGGGCACTTGCAGTAGAGCTCATGTATCTCATTTTTGGCCTCTGCACACCCCGTTTTTTGCCTCTGCACGTCCCGCCGGTGGATGGACGGTGCTTCGGCAACATTCGCTCTATAAGATGCACAGACATTTCCACCCACTTTTGGGGGGAGAAAGTGTGTCTTATAGACTGAAAAATATGGTAGTTAACTTTCCTAAAAGTTTTGTGGCTCATTACCACTCCTGGAGAATTAATGTCTCTACTATCAAGTAAATCATCTCAATATATATTTCCAACTATTAGTGACTAGAACCATCAACAATAGGGTTGGTCATAGCTAGGGTCTCCAAATTTTCAAGCAGAATTTTCTATTTAGCTAATAAGAATGTCAATAATCATATCTCTTCTGTTTTCAGAGCTAAGATCGTCATCTTGTTTTATGGTGCACGGATCTTTCATTTCAGAGTTGTGGGAACAACGCTGAAAAGGCCTTTTGCCTTGTAATTATTCAGATGAAATACACTGCTTATCTTGTAGACTACTATCTTGGTTTGTGAAATCAGTCAGGGCTGAGCATGATGCTTGGATCCTGGTGGAACTTTTGTAAAAAAAAATTGTATACAAGAATGTCATGAAATAAACATTTTGATACACTTTTAAGCAAATGTCTGCTTAAGCAAAAATAAACATTCAGAGCAATGTGAAACTAATTAACTACTTCTCTGAATGCTTACCAGCTTGATCTGCATATAAAATACAATCTGCAGATATCCCTAACTGCAAGTAACAAACATTTGTATGAAGTAAATTAATGACTAGGTAGCTAAGCAGAATCTAAGTCTAAGCTAACATCTAGCAATGTACAAATATATTCTTTTTTTGTTCTCTAGACAGATTTCACTCGGGAACAGAGAAAACATAAGAAGAAAAAAATAATGAATTGCTTTAGAAATAGCATCCATGGTTAGCCATGGATGCAATTTCTAAAGGAATCCATTATTTTTAGCATATTCCTAACTATCTTCTTGGTCTGGAAGAAACAGGAAATAATGCTAAATAAGCACTTCCTCCTTATTGGGTCAAACACAGCAGCAGAGAAGTAACATAAAAATGTGTAAGCAGAAGGCAGTGTCTAAATGCAGTTACTGTTTCTGATTTGCTGCCTTGGTTTGTATGAATGAAACAGCAGTTATAACTTCTAGTAAAATATGATGATGGTATTACTTTCTTTGAAAAAAAACCCTGTTGTAACCTAAATTATTGGCCAGAATTTAGCAATATTAAATTTTCAGAGGACATTAAAAGCCATTTTAAAATAAATCTAAGCTTATAGCCACTCCTTATTTAGTGACCACATTCTACTCCAATGACTTAGTTGTTAAGCAAAATGGTTACTAAGTGAACACATGACAGAGAGATGGAGATGCTGGGAAGATTGCTGGTTGCTGCTGTATCATTCAGATAAAGTTAGTTGTACAGCTATGCTAGCACTCACTCTGCTTTGCTTTTTTGTCAGGCACACTATTTTGGTAGTAAAAGCTCCCATTGGTTTGAAAATTAATTTTTATTGTTGTTTATTACTGTGCGTTTGTGAATGATTGCTAGCTGAATTAGTCACAAAACTAGAAGTATAGTTAAAAATTGTTTCTCTGTGAAAATTCAGCATATGACACTAACCAAAAAAAGCAATGAATTAGTGACATAACTTTTACCTTCAAAGAGTTCTGAATTTGTTCTTTGCATAATTATTTTTATCCTTCAATAGGTGCATCTGCATACTGTTATACCAATGTTGGTACTTCACTTGTTAATTATATATTTTTTGTTCTTGCTTCAAAAGAGCAATTTAGCAGAATGCAGTAATTAATTCAGCCCAAATCAAACACAGTAAAACTTGAAATAGGTACAAGAGTACACATGCAGACTTTATTTCTTTTCTTATTTCTTTTCCGAATCAACTGTAATGTAAAAGAGGAAGAAAAGGTCAGGAGTAGCAACAGTAATAAAGTGTCAATTATTCTGAATTGAAAGAAATTTTATTATGTTTTTAAATTAGGTCCGGTATTAGGTGTGGGTGCTGGAGTTTAATGATTCTGACATTTTATTTATTTATTAAATGTATACGTTGTCATTCAATGGTACTAAGCAACACGTTTACTTTGGTTTAATGATTGCTGTCATTTGCTTTTAATAAAGAGGTGATGGGAAAGCCGTACTTTGTATCACAAGGTAGCCAAAGTACGGAAAAATATTTGTCTCCTTGTCTCATTTATTTAAAAAGAATCACGATATCCTCTACAACACTGTCTATCAAGAGTCAATAAGAGAAAAGCAAAAAGCAATTGATACGATGATTATGTGTCATCAAGTTGTTGTTGGCTCTTAGCAATCACATAGGTTTTTCTCCTGATCTGTCCCTAAGATCTTCCAACAGTGTACAGGTAGTCCTTAACTTATGATCGCAATTCAGCCCAAAATTTCTGTTGCTAAGTGAGACAGTTGTTAAGTGAGCTTGCTTCATTTTATAGCCTTTGTCGCCACAGTTGTTAAGTGAAACACTGCAGCTGTTAAGTTAGTAACATGGTTGTTAAGTGAATCTGGCTTTCCCACTGACTTTGCTTGTCAGAAAATTGGAAAAGTGATCACATGACCCTGGGATACTGCAACCATCATAAATATGAACCAGTCGTCAAACATTCAAATTTTGATCACATGACCATGGGGGCTGTAAGTACTTAGGATCATGGGTCCTAAGTATGAAAAGTGGACATAAATCACTTTTTCCATTGCTGTTGTAACTTTGAATGATTACTAAATAAATGGTTGTAATTCGAGGACTACCTGTATGCCACTCTAGCTGAGTCCATTAACCTTCCTGTTGGTCATTCTCTTCTTTCCTTTTCTTCCATTTTTCTTCAGTGAGTTAGGTCTTCACATAATGTCTGAAAGATTACAATTGTACATCATTTAGTAGCGTGCTTTTGATTACTTCTTGGGATGGGGTGGTAATGTTTTACATCTATTACTTGGACTGATTACAAGCTGAATTCATATTTTTGGTAATTTGTCTTAAAAACCAGTTAGGATTTAGAACTTGGGATATGGAACTGAGGAAATCCACTCCATTTAAATTTCCGTTTCTGCCAAAAATTAGGAGCTGTGCAAGGTATGGTGTGATCCCATAGCTAGTCCAAGAAGCACTGAGTGACAAATTCTGCTCTTCAAAAACAGAATCATGAAAACATAGAAAACTTGGCTCTTTAAAATTTTAATAAAGATAGAAGAAACCACTTAGCCACCGTATATATTTATAAAGCAGGTACATCCTTCATGCATATCCAACGTAGATTTTTTCAGGAAAGGATGACTTCCTTCCAACTTGTTTTGCTCCATCTCATGGCAATCAAACAGTTGTATTTGTTGTCTACTGGATCCTTTGCAGAATTCTTTCAGTTCTTGTTTAAGAAGCAGACATCTGAAAAGAATACCTTTTTATGTACTCATTTGTCAGTACACATTGAGGGGCTTTCTCCAGATTTTCTCCTCCATTTAAAGGAACAGATGTGTAGCCTGAGGTCCTTCTTGAGTCTAATTTGTCGCAGCAGGCATGAGTGGCCTTAGTGACACTAAATACCTTTCCTGGGCCTGCCTTAGCCTAACCTTGTGTTATATGCCACAATACATAATACACAATGTTTATGTTTTTGTTTTTATTCAAGTTTCAGCATTTTAAGATTGGTATATTGCTTTAATTGTTGCTGTAATTGTACAGATAGTCCTCAGTTTATGACCACAACCGGAACTGGAATCTTGATCATTGAGCAAAGTGGTCGTTAATCAAGATGCCCACATGACCATTTCGTTCAATGACTGCAGTCCGGGCTTTCACAGTTGTGGTCGTTAAGTGGACAGACCAAAAGAATTGCCTGCCAAAGGAGAGTACAAAAGAACTCGTGTGCTGGACTGGAGAAACAGGCCAGAGATTGCTTTATCTCTCCAGCCCAGGGCAGGAGAGAAGATAAGTAGATAGCATCTCATATTTTTCCCCTGATTCTTTCTCTTAAAGTTGTATTTTACAAAGAACAAGCCAGTATAATTCATATGTGTGTGTGTGTGTTATATGTACATTAAAACACTCATAGAAATACCATAATTTAAAATCATTTTGCTTTCTATATATTTGTATGCTACATAGAATTATTTTTCAAAAGAGGAGTTTAATTCTTCTAGATTTGAAGTATTGGTCAGTAGTACCATATACAAAAAATGGTCCACGTTGGTAGCTAATTACGTATATTTTAGGTTTTTTTTTAATAATATGCAGGAATGGACAGAAACAGTAATTTTCAAGGTTATAGTTTATGTTATAGTCTCAAGTAGCTTTAAAAATCAACATAGGAACATTTAATAGTGAATATATTTGTTTTTCCCAATAGGCAACCAGATAAATTGGTAGTGGTTTGGACAAGAAGAAGCCGAAGGAAATCTTCTAAGGTTAGTCTTATTTTCCATTAATTAGGGGATATAATTTGAAGTCTCTCACATGATAATTGTCCTCATTCAAAACAAGGATCTAAGAGAGATCTAAAAATTTTAAAGGAATTTGTCATAATACATTACTGTTATTGCTAATAAACCCTGCTGCTATAACTGATTTTGTATCTCTGCATGTTTTTCAGTCTTAATAGCAACCTCAGTATTTATCATTATGGAGGTTTATGTTATACAAATCTCTACATTGTGTAAAAAAAACAAATCAGCGATTCTTCAATTTCCCTTGAAAGCTATTCTAATGGCATTCAAGTGTAATATACATTCTAATTTATCAACTTATCTATCTATTTATTTATCTATTTATCAACTTATCTTATCTATCTAATCTATCTATCTATCAACTATACTATTGTTTTTAATTTTTTCCCCATTTTTATATCCCTGGATTTTACTATCAGTAATAGTACTTGTAACAATATTAACAAGCACAACACAGTTCAAACAACATTTTTCTTCTGGAAGTTTATATAAAACAGTAAATAATAATTTAAATGTATTAAATTAAATATAAATGTATGCTGTAAATACTCAGCAAAAAAGTACTACAAGGATAACTGCAGATCACTTTAACAATAAAACTATTTCTCACTTTTATCCAGAACATCTTTAGTTTACTGTGGATATACTTTACTATGTAATGATGCAAGCTAAACGTGTAAGAAAGAAAAGAAAAAAGATAACAAGAAGTAACTTCCGATTTTCTTTACAAGAATTATAAGTACAACTATAAATTTAACTCTGACATTATGATCACAACATAACTCTCTTCTTTCTATAATCTATCCTGTGTAATCATCAAAACCATAAACCGTAAATTCATTTTTTCTGTTTTATGCAAGATGTCCATAAGAGATTTCCAGTCAACAATAAATATAGACATTCTGTAATCAAAAATATCATTTTAGCTATCACAGCAAGTTTCATCATTGTCACCAACCATTCATCTATTGTGGATAGTGCTGAATCTATCATTGCTAAATGATAATTTAAATGCTGTTTTTCTGGTTGTAGCCCAATACTCTGACTGGGATATGGAGGAATTTATACAGTTTTGGCTATAGGACCACTGGTGGATAGAATGAGGACTGCCCTATTTTTTTTTTTTATCTGATTTATCACAGATTACCTCGTCAATTCCAATTGTCCCTTTCAACTTTTCCTCTTTCCCATCCCTTTCTTTTCTCTGTACTTTCATCTCCCTCCTCTTGATTTTATTTGAAAAAAAGGGGGGCTGAAGACCATGGTACTACAAGACGCAGGTCTGGTTAGAGTCTATTTGTTGATATGAATAAACAGAAATGGTTCATTATTTATTATTTATTTATATCCCACCTTTATTATTTTTATAAATATCTCAAGATGGAAAAATATTCCTTATACTCCTTCCTCCTCCTATTTTCCCCAGAACAACAATCCTGTGAGGTGAGTTGGGCTAAAAGAGAATGACTGACCTGAAGTCACCCAGTCAGTTTTCAGGCCTAAGCCAAGACTCAGTCTCCTGCTTTCTAGCCTAATGCTTTAAGCATTAGCAGGTATCAAACTGGCAGCCCACGGGCCAGATGCATCACATGCAGGCCACACCCATCTCAGCTTCGTGAAGGGAAAAAACATCGCAAAACATCACATGACGGCAATGTGATGCAGCGAGTTTGACACCTATGCACTAGGCCAACTGTTACTATTTGATTCAGTCCTGAAGGAGTCAGAATGGACTACTCTGTGTCTGTTTATTCAATTATGCTCTTGTGCATTCTCATAAATATAGAAAGAGGGTTAAAATAATTTTGGTAATTGAAGTGCTTCTTTAATATTAAGAGAAAAAAAGGAATTATGAGCACAAAGCAGGCTTCATCACACAAATCATTAATAGAAATGCCAGGCATAAATCTGAAATGTGCAAGATAAGATAAGAAGATAAGATAACCTTTATTGTCATTTACCTGTATACATAACAGCACACATTAAAATGAAATTCCGATGCCCCACTCTTGAAAGAAGGAATACCACCCACCAAACAATGTCATCATCCCAAGAATAACAATAATAATATAATAACAGCAGCACCACCAAAAATGCCAAGTTATACATTTTGAATACATAGCGTAAAAAAGAATTTGGAGAGTTAACAAAATGGAACAAAGCTATTACAAAATCTAGTTGTTCTGCTTTGGATATCACGAAGCCTCCTCCCAGAAGGTAACAATGAAAACTGATCATGGAGAGGATGGGTAAATCCCTGACAATACTACTGACCGTGGTCAAGCAATGCTTATATGCCATGTCCTGGATCGAAGGAAGTGAACTTCCAATAATATTTTCCACTGTCCTCACCACTCTCTGGACAGCCATCCTGTCCAAAGCAGATACTATATTACGTTAATAGGAATCCACCCCATTGTTGTATATGCCCACTTCTACTCATATGAAAGAATTCTGCTTTCCTTTGCTTCAAGGACATACAAGAAAAGTGAATCTGTTCTGTTAGACATCATAGTGCACAATCCTTTGTTTGTTTAGCCATATAATACAGGTAGCAGCACTCTGGTCCTCCTAACTTTCCTGAATTTTCAGGTAGCAAGTAAAGTTGGTCTTTACTTTTTTAAAAAAATCATCATTCCTTAATTGTTAAGTATTTGAGCTATCCTTCAGAAGTTCAAATAGCTTTGCAAAGAACATTAATTAACCTGATTTGAATAGGGGCATTCAAAGACCATTTCTCAAATAGCAAGAATTATAGGACTAAGTTCCGTCTTCCAGTTAAGTTCAAAAATTACAATAAAACTATTTTTAAAAATCTTGCATATTTTTATATGATTAGAAAAATCTGTCTCCAGGTCTATAGATCAATAAAGTTTCTGAAGGCCTTAGTCATCTGCCAGTAATTCATAAGCAAAGAAATTAGTTTTAACTAAATGCATTCTTGGAAGCAAGTCAAAAGCAGGATCCGGTTGTGTTGAGAAGATATTTGTGTCCCAAAATTTATCTAAATGTATTGTTTGGCATAAATATTTTATTATTATTTATTATTATTTATCTCTCTATTCTATGTTTTGTACAGGATTTCAGGGCAATGTATATATTACTCTTTCCTCTTTCTCCATTGAGAGTGGAGACAGCAGCCAGCGTGGGTAGTGCCCATCCAATCAGCTTGAAGGACTGAGCCTGCCAATTTTTCTTAGTCCCGCCTCTGTTGCCGGGCAGGCCAGCTTTTGGCTCAGTCCTTCAGCGCTGGCTGGTGTGTGGGACTGCTCTCTGGCTAAATTCTCCTTTTTAGCTCTTTCGTTTGAATTCTTTCGGTGTTTCTCGACTTGGACTGTTCAACTATTCTTTGGTGATTCGATTTGGACCTTTCTGAATTTCTGGCTGACCTGGACTGTTCTGACTACGAGTTTGAAGGTTTTGTGAGTAAGGCGAGGCCTCGTTAACACAGGCTTCCCCTGGCCTTGCCAGGGGCGTGGGATTCTTCACCCTATATTCCCTTAAGGAGATCCTTAACTAATTTGAGCCTCGAGGGACATTTCTCTTGCTACGATCTCCTCATTCCTTCGGGGGAAAGAGCGTTTCAACTCATTCTACACTCCCTTCAATTATCGGCAATTTCGGCGGGCTTTTAGGCAGTGGCGCCCGCCATTTTGGATTCAAAATTACCGCTGTTGGGGGGGGGGAACGCCTGTATGCAACCTCCGATCCTCGTCTCCTGCCGGAACGCTCCCTTTTGTGGCCGTTTTGCCTCACTAACTTAATTTGAAGGCTACGAGTGGCGGGCTTATTTATTCTGCGGAGGAGCCTCGCGCCCCCACCTTTGCGCTACTGCGGCCTGCTTCTGCGGCCCTATTGAGACCTCGTGGCCACTCTGCGCTGTTTAATCAAGTTGCTGGCTATACCTAGCAGCTGAGGAGCTTCGCGCCCCCTCCTCCCCCCTCCCACTTCATTAATACAAAGCCCGGTTTCGGAGGCCTTCAATTAGCGCCCAGTGGAGCTTTACGCCCCCTTCTCTGTTGCAGCTATTGTTGTTGGGCGCTAACCACCATTACTGATTAGTGGAGCTTCGCGCCCCCACTCGTGTTCTGATTTGCAACGGTCACAGGACTGTGGCCTTGATTGGTTGTTGGCCTCCTCCCCCTTCCATAATTCCAACTCGTGGAGTTGCTACGCTCCCAATTTCTGATCTATCTGGCCTTGGGGGATTATAATTAAGTGACAGTTTATTTGAGGCTGCCTCGTGTGGAGTTTCTCTCGCTCCCCCCTTATCTATTCAGAGTTAATCAGTGAAACACAGTCTGGTGTGCAAGGCGTTTTTTGTTACTACCTTCTTTGGCTTCCATGCCTAAGGCCCTTTCTAAGTCTAAGCACGGCCGCAAGGCTAGTGCAGGTGAAGTTGGCCAATCAGACTCCACGTCTGCTACCCAGCATTCTGCCATGCAAGATTCCAGGTCTCATTCCAGAACTTCTCAATCCTCACGTTCTCAGCGCAAGCACTCTACACGTGATGTATCATCCTCTTCTTCTAAAGTGGAAAAGCGTAGAGACAAAGTTCTGACCAGGTTATGTGACAAGGCATGTGCCCAGTTGCCTCCAGCCGCTCTTCAACCTCCTACCTCTCCTAATCCACCCCCAGTCGCGGCTCCCTCGCCTTCTCCTGACCAACTTTCCCTGCAAGATTGTCCAGTGTCGATTTCCGACGAAAATTTGTGGGGTCCTGATTCAATTTCTCAACAACCGGCTCTTGATCCAACTAGAGTACAGGAGGCTCCTTCATCGAATCCGGTACCTGCTCCCTCCTTGGACCCTTCTATTCTTCCAGACCACCTGCAGCAAATGATCGAAGCGGCAGTTCAAAGGTCCTTGGCCGCCCGTTCGGGCCCCTCCAGTCAACATGGATCGGTGAGAGAAGTTTTCCCCTGCTCGGCTGCTCGCAGTGACGAAGGATGTTCACATTC